AATTCATTTAAATTGCATGCTGCAATTGGAACAGTACCTTCAAATGGAACATTTCGAGAATTTTAACTCTGGATTTAGGCCTACATCAGTCATTCCAATTTCCTTTTGTAATCACTAAAGTGGATCGAGCTATTTTAGGCACAGATTTTTTAAACAAACTTAAATTGCTTATTGATATGCATAACAGAAAGTTAATTGATGGCATCACAAATTTATTTATTCAGTCATGTTGCAGGTGTGGATAGCATAAGCATGACTGATAAAAGTTCTAAATTTGCAAATATGCTATTATAGTATCCAAATTTAACAAAACCTTTTAATTTGCAGCTCACAACATAATGTAAAGCACTATATAGCTATTGAAGGACTCCTGCCTTTCCAAAAACTAGCAAATTCAATGCAAATAAGCTAAAACTGGTTAAACAGGATTTCAAATTTATGTTAGAAAATGACATAATTAGACCTTCAAAATCTCTATAAGCCAGTCCACTTCATTAGTTTTCAAGAAGAATAGAAGTTTGTGACCATGCAGAGACTACAGGGGTTTAAACATACAAATGATTCCCGATCGTTATCCTATCCCCAGAAAAGAGGACTTTCACCATATATTAAAATAAAATAAAATATTTTCAAAAATTGACCTATTATTTGATTAATTGAGCTTACTTCGAGATTTTAGTCACAGAAGACAAAAAGAAAACAGAAATGATAATATCATTTGGGTTATATGAGTTTAACGTAATGAATTTCAGGTTAAGGAATGCCCCATCTGCTTTTCACCAAGTCCTCGATTACGCATATTTAGACACCATTTTAGTAGCTTCTGCAACTGAAGATGAACATTCAGATTATTTATAAGTATTTTTTTTGACAACAACATGACCTTCATATAAATCTTGAAAAGTCAGTTATGGGACTGAATGAACAGAATTTCTCTTATATCTGATTACTCTGAAAAGCTTGAAAACCCTTTCTGAAAAAGTAAATGTCATCTTGAGTTACAGATTATTAAAACCATTCATGACTTTCATACTTTTCTTCGTCTAATTAATTTCTATATGCAATATATCAAGGAAGCTGCCCAGACAATCTTCTATGTGTAATTAAAATGTGCCAAAAAAAAAAGATACAAGTAAAAAACTATTGACCAAGGAAGCAAAAGAAAAATTTGAGCAATCCAAAAAAGATTTGACAAATGCTACATTGTTCAGTTTTCCCAATCCTGACTCACTATTTGCTCTCTTCAGTGATGTTCCAAACTACACCATTGGATTCATACTGCAACAGTTGAACAAAGGCAGTTGGAAACTTTTAGCCTTCTTTTCTAAAAAGTTAAAAAATGCTAAAAAAGTATATAAAACCTATGACAGGGAACTGTTAGGCATATACCTCTCAAACGATTCAAGCATACCCTACACTGATCCCAAAGCATTTTACACTGATCCCAAACCTCTGATCATTGCTTTTCATCAAAAAAACAAGTCAGCCTCACCTAGAGAGCTTTGTCATTTACAATATATACCAGAGTTTACGCCATATATTTGCCAGATCGGCAGAAATGAAAATATTGTTGCAGATTCATTATACAGGATAGAATCTACCTCAAATAGATTATCATAAAATCGGAGATGCACAGATCAATAATAAAAAATCTGAACGAGTTATGCTCAAAATCATCTTTACATTTTAAGCAATATCCTTTTGACTTTGGTAAACTACTCTGGTGTTACATTTTAATCCCGAAATTAGTTTCCTTAGCTCACCCTGGTGAGAAGTCTACTGTTGAACATATAGCTTCTAGATTTATTTGGCTCCACATTCGAAAGGATATAACTCAATGAGCAAAATCTTGTATACACTGTCAAAAGAACAAAATTTACAGACATATGTGTGCAAAAATTGCCACTTATAAAGAATTATATGACAGATTCAGTGTTATTCATATTGATATCAAATGCCTGTTTCCTATTTCTGAAGGGAAAACATACTGCCTTACTTGCATTGATCGATTGACATGTTATATAGCAGTTATTCCTTTAGCAAATGTAACAGCTAAAACAGTAGCTCGAAGAATATTTTTAACCACTGGATTTCGTGATTAGGAATGCTGTAACATAATCACTGATCAAGATAATCAGTTTAGATCTGAACTATTTTATAACATTGGTGTTTGTAATTTGTGAATTTAAAGTATGCACAACAATGGATTATCACCTACAATATAATGAGAAAACTGAAAGGATTCATTCGATTTCATAGGCTGCATTTAATAGAACACAATTCTATTAAATGGACTCAAACCTTATCAGCAGTTTTGTTGGGGCTAAGATCGGCTTTGCATGATGATGCAACTTAAATCACTGATCAAATAGTATATGGAAAACCTATTAGATAGCCAGAAGAATTTTTTTCGAAAGAAAAAAGTATCTTGGATACTGAGATGTTTGTAAACGAACCACAGAAACAAATGGAACTGTTAAAACTACTAGAACATCTTTCTCAAAAGTTTTCATCCATAAGGACTTACATAACTGTACACATCTTCATATGCAATGATAGAGTTCGAAAACCATTAGAACCTCATTATGATGGACCTCTTTCAGTTGTGAAAGACATGACAAATATTTTATTGTAACAATCAAAGGGAGAAATGTCAATGTATCTGTAGACAAAGATGTTCAGAAAAACACTGCATGCTCTGGTTGACATGTAAGATTTCCAGTGTTACATAGATTAATTGCATGCAATTTATTATTGTTATTTATTAATTTCATATATTTTTTATATTTACACATATAAATATATCAGACAAAAATGTGTAAATCAACCCCCTCTTAATTATAAGAATAGTGATGCCTTTTTCTGTACTGCATCATTTCTAGATCAATCCATAGCATATAACTTGCACAATGCTGATACAGCAAATTCTGAACTTAAAACTTTCTATTAATGAGCTGCCATACTGGATAACTGCACACTTTTGCTTCCAGCTCTCTTGCCATTAAGATGCTGTCATACTGCTCTTTTTCCTATCACAATAGTTTCAAAAATGTAAGTGTTCTCAAACAGGCACAATTAGAGTGCCAAGTGAATTGCAGCTCTAAATGTCAAATGAAATAAAGATCAATATAATCAAGTTTTCTTGGCTGCCAGTTTTCGTTTCAATAGGGGTTAACATTCTATACTGTCTACATAATTATAGTGAGTGTCTGCTTTATTACATATACATACTTTCCTCCCACCACTTATATACATTGCATATACAATGAAATTTTTGTTATTGCACATTGTAGACTACATCACAACTATCTTGTTACTGGGGAAGAAGTGATGTAGCAGCTATTTCTACATATAATATTAGCTTTGTTGCGATGAAGTTAAGTTTCTGTAAAATGGAAACAAGTATAAATAACAATAAAAAATTAGCAGTTTAATGTTTGTTATTCTAAACAGTTTTCTTTACTGTTGTGAATTAAAATATGCCTAATCAATTCTGGATTTATCATTTAATTTATTAAATTATCCCATGTATTGGCTCTGTGTAGTGCCAATGGCATATTATAATTTTCTTTTTATTTTATAAGAGCAGGTTTTACAAGAATTATTTTTGCATGTTAAGGCTTAAATGCAAAATGAATTCGGACACACACCAGTTCATAGAATGTTCCCCATGAAGGCATCCCTTCTCTCAGGTAGGTAGACCAAATTCAGAAAGCTTACCTTAATCTTTATAACTTTAATCATAATTACACTTACATGCTTCTCCTGATACACATTTTTTTTTTAAATTTGACTTTTTTGTATCATATAGATTTATTACTACTTTATCTATGTATACACAAGTAGCTGCTAATTTTAATAATTTTTAAAACAAAAATGGATGGTGTAATGAAATATTCATAATTTTTCTCATATTATGCTTCTCACTACAAATAAAATTTTAAAAAATCACTAGCTTTTTGAGAAATTGAGATGATACAGTTAGCTGAACAATATACTTAGAAAATAGCTTCCTATATTAAATATTCAAAGAGGCAAAGTATACATGTAGTTTGAGAAGAATTTGGTCTATCAAAAAATAGCTGTACTAAAAAGAATTCCAACGAATTTGCAAATAGTTTAATATTCTAAAAAGACTGTTATCTGAGAAAAACTGAAAATTATACAAATTAGAATTTAAAAAAGTTGTATTCTTTAAAAGAAGAAAAACCTTCTTCCTTAGAAACTTTCCTGCAATGTTTAAAATTTAGGATCTTAATTTATCATTTGGTACCACAGGGTATAAATTATCATTGTGAAATTACCAGAAGTGTTTACTAATTATCAATGAAGTAAGTGCAAGAATAGCATTAATTTATAATGGGACATTTGTAAAAGCAATATTCTTAAAGTTCAGAAATAAAATTTATTCACTGTTACTAAAAGTTACCTTTTAATTTTTTCATCCTAAAATTTTATCCTTGAAAACAGTACTTTATATTTCAGTTTAAAAAAACAAAACAAACAAATAAACTATAAAATTATTTGCCAACTGTTGTCTATAACAGAAAAGATCCCTACTTATTTTAAGAGCATAAATATTTAAGTTACAGCCTAACAGTTATTTGTAATGCATAACACTTTCCACAAATAATGAAAATATTTTAATGCAAATAATCACACTCTTGAAAGAGAATGAAGAAACTAAAACATATTAAGGAAAGTGAAATTATGCAAATAAGCTTCATGGAAACCGATATGAATTATATTATTACAGCAAAGTGCAGTACAGGTATCTGCTTGAAAATAAGGATGCTTTCATGTAAGACTTTTGACAGAAAACTGAGCAATATTACATCTTTAAATACTGGGAATAGAAAAATGATGCAAAATGAGAGTTTCATGACTTAAGCCACTTGGCCATTGATGAGCCCAGTTTCACGAGGAATCTAAATGAAGGTTTCACATAGGGCAAAGAAAAAAAACACACAAAATTTCAAAACATGAAAAAAATTAATTACCAAAATTCACCATCTTCATCAAAAGTAAGACCAATTCTTTCTCTCTCACTTGCAGAAATCTTTTCCCATTCTTCTGAACTTCATGAAAGAGAAAAAATTAAACAGGTTAACGTTACAGAATCATTTCAAAAGCATGAAATTTTAATTTCCATTTTCAATGCATTTTATCATTTAAAATCAAACATTTTTAAATGACTAAAATTATATAGATTAAGAATAAAAATGGAATGCAAAATATAAAATATTTATCAGTAAAACTTTAATAACTTATGGAAATTACTCATTAACTGAAGTCAACTAAGTCATTTTAGAAACATTTATATATATATATATATACATATAATAATTTATTTACTAAAGTAATATTGAGTATATTATCTCCTAAGAGTATATAAACTTTCAATAAAACTGCTAAAACAGAAGCAATAACTTTTATAGCATAAAAATATAATGTCCTAGAAAGACGGGAAAATATATATAAATACATTTTAATATAGTATAACACAACAAAATCTATTGCAATGAAACAAGTATTGTGTTACCTGGTAAATACTCATACCAACATAAAACAGTAAAAAATTTTGAATACCGTAAACACAGCTTTATTTGATGACTTTCCCCCTATCTCTCTGGCTGATGGGAAAATTCTCTTCTTAAATAACTCTTAAGATTTATTTGTTAAAAAGTTAAGATATTCTTTGAATAGCCTCCAATGAATTCCAGGACATTCAGAGAATTTTGAGGTGATCTAAACAGGTGAAAATAGGATGAGGCAAAGTTAGGTGAATATGGAAGGGAACTAAAAAATCCCAACTATATGTCAGCAAGTCTCGGTTCTCTAATAAAATCCTAATTGACGAAAGCACATGACAAAATCCCACATAGATCACCCAACTGCAATAATTGCCCATGCAAAAAATTACCCCACATGAATGAAAGCACACATTGATAAATGCTCACGTTGATTAAAAGAAAAAATAATAATATAAGCCCATGCTGATAAAAGCACACATGAATAAAAAGACACATGATTTTTATAAATATAAAATGTATTTATGATTGTAATTATATTAAAAGGAGTATTTGAGTCTGATTTTTAGCATCTCAAAAGTATGTTTATATATTTTATAACTATTTTATTTATATATTTTACTAAGAAGAGAGCAAGCTTTTCTGCTTTTAAATTCAATGGTTAGCTAATATGTTTCCACAATAAATCTGAAAATTTTATTTCTTTGTTTATTATTTTTTATTTTCTTCACTTGTTTTTCTGCATGTTAAAACAAAAAATACCATTGTGAAGCTACTCAAAGGATATTTTTATTGTTATATAATTAAAGACTAATTGCACTTATGTCTCCACATTAAAAACAGGGAAGATGTTATTTAATCAAAGAACTATCTTCATAGTTAATAGAACAGTTTTTAACTCTCTTAATTCTTTAACTACAGTGTAAAACAAAATCTTCAAGACTTAAATATGCCAAATAAAAGCTCACTAATTTACTTTATTATTATTACTTTGAAATTAAATTAGGTTATATTAAAAAAATGCATGAAAGAAATAAATTCTCTGCATTAACAAAATTTCCTTTTGTTTTAAAGAGAAATTCTTTTTTTATCTCTTATATTTGTATTCATTTCTCAATGTGACATTGTAGAGACAAGCTATAAGCTTGTGTGAAAATATAAATTTGCCTGGGGATGTCCAGCCCATGGTTCTTGAAATTTATTTTTGAATTACTGTGCCTAAATACAGACTTTCCAAAAAACTTGGTTTCCTGCAGCTAAATATGTTTACAGTTGAGCTAATTTTTTCCAGTTCACACATCAATGTTAATGACTGTTCTGGTTCCATTGGAAATTGAAGACTAAAAATATTTACCACCTTTACTCCCATATCACATAAATGGCTGACTGTAGGAAATAAGTTGAGAATTTTAGCTTTTGAAGCCACCACTGGATTTCATCTTTCTACTATTTCCACCTGCTTTCTATATAATTTGAGGTAAGTGATTATACATTCTTTCAAATAAATTTACTCATTTAGAATATACATTAAATTATTTGGTCAAGTATCAGAAAAATGAAAAACTAAAATACCTTTACTGAAATAGCTGCTTTTTAAATAATGCAATGAAAAGAGGCAAAATTCTCAGCATTAATATAAACCTCAATGGAAAAATATGTTTCTATTTAAGAGTTGAAATTGTGAAATGATTTTGATACTCCTTATAAATGAAAATAATTAACATTAAAAAAGCTTTCAAGCAGTTCAACATTGCAACAATTCAAAAAAAAAAAAAAGAAGAAGAAGAAGTAAACAATGTCTTCAAATTTGATTAGTATTACCTAACACAAATAATATGTAAATGACAAATTTAAGTAGGAATTTCTAATTTATAACAACTACTCAAGCAGTAATATGTATATTATTCTTTGAAGTATACAAAATCACAATTTTAATATTCCTCAGTTACTTTTGTGGATAATAGTTTGCTCTGACCTTCAAGTGTTGCTAAAGAGTGCTGACAATTCAGTATTACATGCAGTCTGAAATTACAGTAAATGTAACAGACTCAGAAGTTTAGTCTAAATACATACTACCATTATATATATATATATATATATATAATTTTAAGCTCTACCAGTGGTTGTCTGAATAATGGTACTTTGACTTGCATTTGAGACCAGGCAAATTGACTGGCTGCATGGTTGGTTTTTATGAATTTCTCCTTGTTTAACATGAATGACCCAGTTTTCCTTAGAATATCCCCCAAAGACAGACAGCCCTCATAAGCTTTGCCCAAATTCAAATAACCTAACCTAATCTTTACAATCTTAATCATAATTACACTTACATCTTTCTCCTGGTATACCTTTAAAAAAAATTTCGACTTTTAGCATAATATACATTTATTGTTACTCTATCAGTTTATATATGAGTAGCTACTAATTTTAATAATTTAAAAAATTTAAACAATGTAATGAACATTCATAATTCTAACTCATATTACGCTTTTCACTATATACGAAATTTACACAAATCTCATAGTAACTTTTCGAGAAACTGAAACCACGTATTTAGCTGAACAGTATGCTTGGAACATTGCTTTCTACATCAAATTTTCAAAGATATGGAGGATATATGTAATTTGAAAAGAATTTAATGTATCAAAAAATAGCCAAGGTCAAAAAGAAATTCCTACAAATCCAAAAATAGTTTAATATCCTAAAAAATTGCTGAGAAAATTTGAAACTTATACAGTTGTCATAAAATTAGAATAAAAATTAAATGTATTCTTTTAAAAAAAAAAAAAGGAAATCTTCTTTAGGAAATTTACTGTAAATTTAAAAAGTAAGGCTTAACATAACATTTGCTGTCTTAGCATATAAATTATCATCGTGAAATTACTAGATCTGCTTATTAATAGTAAATGAAGATGAGAGCAAGAATAGCTTTCATGATGGGTCATTTCTAAAGCAATATTCTTTAATTTCAGCCAAGCACTTAACCGGAAAGCAGAAAAGCTTGTTTTGGACTTAATAAAGACATAAATAAAATAGTGATAAGATATAGAAACATACATAATTTTGACACCAAAAATATGACTCTAATACTCCATTTATTATAATTACAATCATAAATACACTTTTTATTGACAAAAACCATGTGTCCTTTTATTCATGCGGGCTTTTATTGCTATTTGCTTATATCAATGTGAGTATGTGTCACAGTATGTGTGAGTATGTGTTACATGGGCAATTATCACAATGGGATTATTTTTGTGGGCTTTTGACACATGCACTTTCATCCAGTGGGCTTTTAGTTCAGAAACGAAACTTTATTGCTGCTACTAATCCTAAAATCCTAACTACTAATCCTCTAAAATTTTATCCTCAAAAGTACTGCTTTATATTACATTAATTTACAGAATAAATTATTTTTATAATTTTAGAAATAATTTATTCTGAATAAATTATTTTTAAAATTTTTAGAAATAATTTATTGTGTTCCTTGATTAAATAGCAAGTCTCAGATTTTTTAATACTGAAAACTCACATAATTATTCTTAAAAATAGCTATTCAGGGAATTCACAATGATATTTTTCTTTTTCACACATATACACAAAATAAATGAAAACGAAAATAATAAGTAAATAACATTTTCAGATTACTATCAAAATATAACAGCCAAGCACTTAACCGGAAAGCAGAAAAGCTTGTTTTGGACTTAATAAAGACATAAATAAAATAGTGATAAGATATAGAAACATACATAATTTTGACACCAAAAATATGACTCTAATACTCCATTTATTATAATTACAATCATAAATACACTTTTTATTGACAAAAACCATGTGTCCTTTTATTCATGCGGGCTTTTATTGCTATTTGCTTATATCAATGTGAGTATGTGTCACAGTATGTGTGAGTATGTGTTACATGGGCAATTATCACAATGGGATTATTTTTGTGGGCTTTTGACACATGCACTTTCATCCAGTGGGCTTTTATCTGGTCACCATAAGTCTCTAGTGAACATTCATAGAAACATGGAGCCTAGTACTATAATGATGGAACAGTACCTTGGTGTCTGGACAATTCTGAATGCTTTACATCATTTTCTGCTTGTCATCTGTGATTAGTATTTCTTTAAACTGGTGGTTCGATTGGACGGCAATAGTCTACAATAAATTATTCCTTCACAGTCCACCACTGGAAGTCAACACAGGAGGTCTGTCTGACTTACTTCATCATCTTTTTCTCTTAACATTATTGTACATAATTTTTTCCTCCAATAATGAGCCATTTCAACACCGAAGCTTTATCGTGTTGTTTCAGAGTAGAATAGCATACTGAAATTACAGTAAGTACTTCTACTCAATTTCAAAGCATGAGGTACCTATATGTCATAACAATTTACACATCCAAACTTCTTAACAAAAATCATGCACTGAGCTTTTCAGAATATTTAAAATGTCTGCAAGGTCTTGAATTGTATAAGAGGGATTTTCAGCATTAGTTTCATTTAGCAGCTCCTCGTTTACAGAGGAAGGATGTTCAGAGCAGACATGATTTTTAAGTTATTTCCCTGCTTAAAATTCTGAAACCATCTTTGAATTGTGCTATCAGAAACAGCAGTTTTTTCATACACTGTAAAAACTGTATAAACTATTTCATTACCACATTTTTTTTTTTTTTTTTTTGAAATAAAAGAGTACAATGTAACAAAACTGAACTTCTTAATTATCCATTTCTGCAATGCACTGAAATTTTAAAAAATGTTAAAACACATGCAAGAATAACACAATATAAACAGTAATGCCTGCTTTGTTTTTACAGCAAATCAATCTCACACCATATGAGCAGTAACAAAGAAAATTAGAAAAAATGCCTTTTGATTTGTAAAAAATCATAAACTTTTCAGAAGCCCCAAGATTTCATTTTGCTCCAATAAAATATACATTACATTTATCATATACCTTTAATACTTCAAGTCAGTATTTATTTAGCTTCTAATATACAGCACCAAACACTCAAAAAGTTCACTTGATAATTTTAAATTCTTCAGTATATACACCTAAGTATTTAGGTGTATATCGATATTATTATTAGTAGTTTTAAGATTAATGCTCAGGAATAGATTCACAAGACACAAGTAATACATAATTTTGGAAGTAAAAATATTTTAGTTTCATATACACAACAGCAGAAGATAAAAGTACCGACTTACTGTTGTCTTGAATTCTAAGTGCAATAAATGCACTTTAACTTTCTCTACATCCTTAATTTCATAATTTTGCAAAATATTTCTTCATTTAGCAAAACAAATTTAAGTAACAAAAAATACACACAGAGCAAGCGAGCACATTTCCTGACTAGAATGGATGATTTCATAGGATAATAACCATTTAGGGATGTTCAGCTCTTAGAAAAGGGAAGACATGACGTACCACAGCACTGCACTTCTTTACTAAATTCTTAAAATTTAATCAGTAGCTGAGTTACCAAAAGACTTTCCAAATCTAGCCAATTTTAAGCTCTCATAGCATAACACCAAAAACTTTTTAATGCATCCTATGCTGAGAACCACTGCTGTCTAGAATAACAATAACTGACTTTCCTCACTTTAAATAAGGTGTATCGACATTTTCAAACCATTTGGCTGGTTTTCTGTATAAGGATTAGTCAGTAATTCTAACTGCAAAACTGTATTTAGAATTACCTATTTACCTCAGTCATAGTGGCGCTTGATCTAGGAAGCATAACCTTTTCTATACTGCAGATATTTGAATTTGGCACTGAAGTCTAAATCAGTTGACATACAGGGTGACTGATAAGTTGGTTAACCCAAAATTTTAAAACTTTTCTTTTTATCACAAGCACATACTATGTGATAAACTCACAATTCTATATTTATCCTCAGAAATGACTTTGAGATACTTAACATTTAAAAATATTCTACAGCTTTATCAAAAAGATTCATTGTTGGTGTTTAAATACCAAGCCAGCAATATCATAAATGTGTTTCTTAAGTCTTCATTATGCAGTTTCACAATTTCACCTCCCATCATTTTGTGTGAATTTGTTTTCTTCAGCCCAACATACATGCTGCATAATTTTTCTTAATTCTTTCAACTCCTGGTAACGACTTTTTGAATTTTGGGTTAGGCGCCTTTTCGGTCACCCTGCAAAAATATTTGTACCTAATCAAACACAATATTTTGTGTAAACTTGCAGCATTACAAAATATCAAATTTTCAACAAATGTCCACAATTTTAGTCATCAACTATATGATACTTTAATTATTTTGAAAATTTCAAATTGTTAAATATTGTTGCTTACTTTTATTACACAACAATAAAGCAAATGAATAGGAGGTTTATGAAATTAAAAAATGTTAAAACAGTTTAAAATGTGAACAAATTAATGCCACAAAATAAAGAAAATTCATAATGAATAACCTAAATTTAAAAACATTAAAAATAACTCACAAAATAAATAAAATATCAAACTATAATGTTATAAGTATACATAACGCTATAAGATACAACCCTGTGATAAATTACAGAGCTCTTCATTGTGAACATACAACTTTACTATAGACTAAACGAATTAATATTTCACTTTTATAGACTCAATACCTGGAATTAACTCATTCTTTTTGTTTCATGTATGATAAATATTATAGTTACCCATCACTGAATGGTCCTGTCCATTCCTTCTGTCCCCATGGGTTTCTCATACGCACCATGTATATTTTTTCCTTTTCTGCAAACAATGACATTAAGCCTGTTTCACCAATATACACTTTTTTAACAGCAGTGATTCCATATGCATGCCCTTTAACTAAACCAACTTCAGTTCTAGCTTCCATTTCTTCTTGAGATGCAGCCTAAAAATACACATACAAATTATGAATAAAAAAATGCATTTTTTATGTTTCCTATTTACTGCAATTTGGTAATGAACATCACACAGGTAAAATAAAATGAAAAAAATCCCCCCTTTTGCACATAGCTAGATGAAATGTATTTCAAAATGACAAAAATAACATCAAAAATCTTATCCAAACTTCACAAAGATTTCTGTAAAATTAACTTTGGAAGTATTTACTGAGAAAAAAATTCTCTGCTGCACAAGTGAATTTTAGCTGACTATATAGACTCGGAAACTGGCAAAATTCATGTTCATATATTATTTGCCCACGGCAATAAAGCTTATTATAAATCCTTACATAATGCTATTCTTATGTTTTTATAATTCAGAAAAATTTTCATCCTGGAGGTCTAGAATACTCTTGATTTCTCAGATAAGCAGATTTTCTTTTTTATTCCATAAACAGTTGCTGTTTCTGACGTATATTAGCCACACAATGCCTTTTTCAACAATTTCAACTTTAGCAATGTTGAGATTTAAAAGCTGAACAGGAACACAATCAAAAAAAAAAAAAAAAAATGGAACAGTTCACTGGTGAGGCAGTTCTTTATCTCCCATTCTACTCAGCCAGTTGACAAAATTCAACTTCCATTTTTCATGTCTCACAAGTGCAACCTAAGATATATATTGGATAAATATGTAGCTTAAGTTGAACATACATCTTTCCTCTATCATTTAATAGCATGTTTAAAACATGCTTATTAAATGAGAGAGAAATAAAGCACCGCCTAAACTTCTTTAGGTCAACAGAATCAAGTATTTATTCTGCCCTACCTAGTGAATTGATATTACATTTTATGCGGTGCTAATATTCTAAATTATATAATTCTCAAGATTTTTAGAATCAGTATATGATGCATTAAGGAGCATGTTTTTTTAAAATTATCTGTAATAATATGAGGAAAACTAGCTATTTGAAACCTTCTTTGTAAAAGCATAAATATAAAATTTATATTTCATATGCTTTTATTAAAAGATGATATATGATCAAAACTATCAAAACCTTAAACTTAGTTTATATTGTTAAATACTTACTTAGTTTACTTAAGACACAATAACACGCCGAATAAATACTAATTCAGAAGTCAAACAACAAAAACACAGAAACACAGAAGTCTTCTGTTGCTCAACATTGTTGGTCCGAAAATCACACTTTCAATTTTTCTGCTGCCAAAATTATTCAAAAAACATCTTCCATTGGAGAACTGGATTTTCTAGAGGCATTTCACATTCATAAAAATCTTTCTGTTCTAGTTAACGATCCTCATTCCAATCCAACTTTGCCTTCGGCCTTTAAAGAAATTATGTTTTAGTTCTGGTTTCGCCAACAGATGGCGCCACTTGCTTATTCTTGTCCAGGCTTTCTTATCTTATCTAAACATTATTTCCTATCTTGTTCATTTGCGGTTTTGCAGCTGAAGATGATGGTTCGGTAAAACCATCGAAACTAGTCCTGTGAAAATTTTGTAAATTAACACTGATTTTGTTGTTTGACTTCTGAATTAGTACTTAGTTTACTTGTTAAATACTTAGTTTAGTTATACTGTTAAATGCTTAGTTTAGTTTGTTAAATACTTAGTTATATGCATTATGGTATAGGTGAATAGTGCATAAGATTTTCATATTTATGGGGGAAAAAGTGAAGAATAAATCCAAATACAGTTAAGTTTTAATACCCCAAATTTGAAGGAATGCACCTCTCAAAAAATAAATAACAAAAATTCAGCTTTGAATCAGTATCAGTTATGAATACTATACTTTGTTATTTACTTTGATTTACCTTCGAATTTCTAGTTCTGACAATCATATCCTCAAATTTCAAGTAACTGAAATTCAAGTAACTAAGTTTTAGTACATATTCACACTATAACTGTTAAGTAATCAGGGTGTATTTAAAAAAATAGAAGCGTTGCAGAATTTTACAGTACAGCAAGTAATTCAAGAGAAGGCTTGTACAGGCTTGTTTTTGGCATGGCTCTTAAAAGTAGAATATTATACACCTTTCACCTCTGCCATGTCAAAAAAAAAACTTTAATTCAAAAGGACACTTTAATTTTTGGAAAGCGAAAATAATCACAAGGAGACAAATCTGGAGAACATGCAAATACAATTTCCAGGACAGAACAGCTCTGCAAAGTGGAATGACCAGTGGGAAAATGCATTATTAAGCAGCAGAACGGTTTCCAAATAAATAACACAAATTAAAAATCATCTGCTTAATTCTTGGCTTAGTCACCCAAACATTTAATACAGATATTGCATGGTTTTGTCACCAATAATAGCATTGTTTCGACATCTTGGTTTAAATTCCAACACCACCAGCTGAATATGATAATAGCAAATGTACCTGAACATTCATTTGTGCTAGGACTTCATAGTTTAAAAACTAATGCATTAGCAAAACTCTACTGTTTAAGTAAGAGAATATTATATAGCTGAAAAATCTGCAAATCAGATAATAAATTAAAATTTAACAAGCTGGCTTTTAGAAGCAGTTGCACCAGTGGTACAGTGGTTTAAAACTGCTAAATACTGGTAGTCTGTCTTGGAGTCCAAGGCAGGCAAAAGAGTTGGCTGCATGGGATTCACCATTTTCGCCATATGAAATGTGAATACAAGCCACTTTTCCTCAGAAACGTCTTTGAAGGAATGCCTCTCCCTAAGCAGATAGCCTCCCTGTGCTTTGCCATGTACCTAACCAACCTAATTTATGTGTGATTTCTAAATATAGATATCCAAAGAAAAAAAAAAAAAAAAAAAAACAGAAACTCACCAAACAAATGCATAATCATCCAATCAGAAGGAATATAATTAATAGAGTGCTTGTTGAGTTGCCAATACCTCTCTCTGAAGTTAGATTGTCATTCATTAGTTAAACGCAACTAATTTCTACTTTTGGGCACAGTTGATAAAAAGACTAAAGAGCAGGCATTAAAATTTGATTGATATAAAACTAACAATATATTTAGAGAGAAAGACAATTTTTTAAATGTTTTACAAGAATTTTAATGCATAGTAAAAGAGAAAATGTAACAGAAATAATAATGTGAAATTAAATGTAATAATATTGCAATGTTGTGTTATTTTCTGACACCAGTTGTTAGGTTATTTTCTAACTTCACAGTTGTTACATTATTTTCTGGTTCGTGTGGATTTGGAGTGAATAGCGATGACACTCGATGAAGTATCGAAACACACTTTATTTACCAATATTAATCAGAACAGCTCCAAAACACTTTTACAGTCGTCGAAGATCTACTACACACTCACTAGAACAATCAGCAACACAGCCTTCAGGCTGTCAGGCTATCACGGTGAAGACAGCTTCACTGCAAAGCACCAGAGTACAGCTCCCGACTCTGCTCGGTCGTTCTTGGAACTCCAAGTACTCTCGAGACTCTCCACGCTACAACTCGCGATGCACTCGACGACACACTGAGCACGACTCCCGACTTTTCTGTTCAGTAGTTCCCGGAGCTCAACACGCTCTCTCGATGATGCACTAACCGTGATACACTAAGAGACTCTTCGATGCACTTGACGACCAACTTGGCGCTAGATTTCGAGACACTCGCTCAATGACTGACTATCAGCTCGCTAGACGAGGCACGCACTGACTGCGGGCCAGCAAGGTTTATATAGCTTTCGGCTTGTGTTCGAGAACATTCTGGGCTAAACTGGTAAGAATTCATTCCAGATGGTTCTCCATCCGTCCATGGTATATCGCCAATTTTGTCACCAAATGGGCGATTTCACATCAAATGTGGCAACCCTGCCTTCCCTTGCCATTTTATGGCAACCCTAAACTTGCTTTGCAGGGAAGCTACCTTACCGCGCCTTGACATTTCGTAATCATTTATTATATTACTAACGTATTAGAATTTAGATCTTGACAAATCACAATCTAACTTGTAGTATGTTCATCATCGCAAAAAAATATTCTACTTTGAATAAAACGATCTCACGATAATATTAGTGGCCCTTTCAAATGTAAATAACAGCCTGTTTAAGAAATTTACTATGCAGTTAATGCCGCATTATATTCTTCGGACATAACACATCTTCAGTACAATTTTTACTTCTTGTCTTTGATAGAAGATAAATATCTTTCATTCTAGTAAATTTTGCAGCTGTTAAACATTTCTTTAGCAAAAGAGAGCAACTTTTATTTATAATATCTTTGGAATATTGTTTGACTTACTGATAAGTATTTAATACACATGCACAATTTTGAAATCTGCAAATAAATTTCATTGCATATAAAATTAAGCAAAATAGCAGATGGCAAATATAAAAATTTAGTCTTATGAAAGTAAAAATTCTTTAAGCTTTTGATTAATATTCACTATAAATTTTAAAATAACTTTTCATATATTAATAAATGCTGAGAAGAAAGACAATTAATAAAAATGAGAATAAAGAAATTCCATATCGATATTCCCGAGTCACAGTTTATTTGGAAATTTGAGGTCAAAATTACTGTTGCAATTCCCAGAAGACTTTAACAAAGTGTGTAAATTACATTTGGCATTATTATTGCATACTTGCCAACCTATGACACACAAAAATCAGGAGATTTTTTTAAGAAATCGGGAGATTTTTCACAATGTTAAAAAGACTTATTAAATAAGGAAAATATAGTTTTTAATAATGAATTAACTTTAAATAGTAACTAATTCTTATGCAATCAACACAAAAAATACCTTACACATAAAAAACATTTTTATTACTTGCATCGTTTAAGAAAACAAAACAAAACAAGAAAAAAAACCTTTAATCAGTTTTTGTACAAATGGTATAAATAGTGGCGGATTTTGCTTTCTTTAAGAAAGAAACTTCATAATTTTGTTCATAGCAATTGCCACGTAGGCCTGCTTTTACTAATAAAAGTTTTCTAATGTGTCATCACTAATATTAGATCTAAATTTAGTCCTCGTTTTCGCAACAACACTGAAA